TTTGTGTAATGTCCTTCGTCTATATTTTTACCATGATGAAGAATCGCACTATTAACTTTATAAATATTATCACCGATACAAATTTTTGACGAAGGTATGGATTTAATATTAAGATTTGTAATCTTTATAACTTCTTCATTATTAACTTTAAATAATAATAATTGAATAATAAGTACACGTTTGGTCGTTGTTATACTAGTCTTTTCAAGTAAAGCAGTTGAATTACAATTACATGTATGTGTCACACGTACGATTGAAAAATACATGTATGTGTCACACGTACGTCTGAACATAACTGAAACGTACCCTTTTCGGGACTCGGTCTCTAGATCTCGGTATCGGCTGCACCAATTTTATTCGGACTGGTCGCAATCGAAAGATACCGATGACATTATATAATAAAAGTGTTTTTAGATTTTTGATTCTGCTTTTAAATTCTGAGTAATTTTAATCTAAAGTTTCAAGATGTGAAAACTCGAGATAAAGCTAGTGGTAGCGTCGTGAATTTGACATCGACATGAACATATACACGCATCAAGTATCACGTCATGTCAAACGGTTATATTTTTATTTTATGCACTTGGCGTCGCGACGCTACCGCGTCGCTTGATATTTATCATAAACATTTCTTAGCATGTTACAATTATTTTATACTTATCTATCAGAACAATTTGTAGATTTATGTAGTAGGTTTTAGATTTGTCTTCATAAAATAAAGTAGGTTTTACATTTTTCTCCTTAAAATAAATGTATCTCTTAAAAAATATTTTTTAATATAGTAATTCTCTTTTTATTATCAGTTTATGCAAAAAGAAATTTAAATCTAACTTGACAGTACAAGTTATATTTTAAACAGATATTGTTTTTGTTAAATTAAAAGTCATTTTAAATTAATCGAATCATAAAAAATAACAATAAAAACGGATTTTTATAATGTACAAAACCATCTATCACATAGATATATTTATTTCATGATTAAAAAGTTCACAAAATCATCAAAATCATTCAACAAAACTTACCAATATAGAAAAATAAAAAACAAAATAAATACAAATGTTTAATAGTCGCCAAAGAAGCAGTAGAAGATTATATATTGGTACATGTAGAATGGGATAAGACTAGAAGAATGTGATCAGTCTCTCAAGTTTTCCAGGATACTGCCGCTATTGCTGTTGTTTGGTTCGTGAACTCTCTCGACGTCTTTGTGTACTTCTTGACATTTGTATTCCGTGGAACCATGATTCTCGTCATATCGCTGCCTGTCATTTTCGTTCTCTTCTAGTTTACTTAGCTGCGGATTTCGAGCGCGAGATGTTATGATCTATCCTTCGATTTTGCGCGCGCCTCCTTATACGTTTGGATTCACGATGTGATTCTTCTGCTATAACATGGATTAATATAATTATATATTACAAACTGTTTTTAAATATATGTTAGCATGGAAAAAAGATATATGTTAGTAATAATTACTACATTGTTAAACAAATTTGATGTGTGCGTGTGTGTGGTGTGTGTGTGTGTGTGTGCGTGGGTGTGTGTAAATTTGAACATACGTCAGGGTGTATATCTTAAAAAATGCCTATTAATCACGTTGCGTTATTATACGTATTTCTGATCAATAATTGAGTCGGTATTGAAAAAGTTTTGAATCATTTTACAATATTTTCGCAACAGTTAACGAGATATTAAGTATTGAAGATTGTCAAATAAGGTTACCAAATTTTTTAATAATTTTCTTTTATCTATTACAAAAAATTTTTATTTTTAATAAAATTTTTATATACCATAATCTTCAATTATCATTAGATGGTAATTCTTTTTAAGAAATTTTTCGAACGTTCTTCTCAGGACTACTTTAAAATTTTACAAAAAGATGTCTTGAACAAGACTTTTAGTCAAATCCTATAAAAATACTCTTTTAAAATGTTTTTTGGACATAATTGTTTAAAACATTTTTGAGAACAAGAATAAGAACAATGTTTTATGACAATCCGTAAATCAGCATATGTCACGTACCGACGTACCCGAGTAAAAATGAGTTCGTAATCGCGCGTAAAAATAATGAGATACGTCTGCTTTTATGGGTTTCATTGTGTTTTTCTAAAAACTTATTGACTTACCCTCGTACATAGATAATTAAATTGATAAATAAATAGAATGAGATATTTTTCTGATCGTTGCCAATACACGATTTATATATAGATGAATTAATATCAGTTAACGAGATATTAAGTATTGAAGATTGCCAAATAAGGTTACCAAATTTTTTAATAATTTTCTTTTATCTATTACAAAAAATTTTTATTTTTAATAAAATTTTTATATACCATAATCTTCAATTATCATTAGATGGTAATTCTTTTTAAGAAATTTTTCGAACGTTCTTCTCAGGACTACTTTAAAATTTTACAAAAAGATGTCTTGAACAAGACTTTTAGTCAAATCCTATAAAAATACCTTTTTTAAAATGTTTTTTGGACATAATTGTTTAAAACTTTTTTCAGAACAAGAATAAGACAATGTTTTATGACAATCCGTAAATCAGCATATGTCACGTACCGACGTACCCGAGTAAAAATGAGTTCGTAATCGCGCGTAAAAATAATGAGATACGTCTGCTTTTATGGGTTTCACTGTGTTTTTCTAAAAACTTATTGACTTACCCTCGTACATAAATAATTAAATTGATAATTAAATAGAATGAGATATTTTTTTGATCGTTGCCAATACACGATTTATATATAGATGAATTAATATTACCGCAATTAAACGGAAAATATCTTTGACTATAATAATTGATTTGGATTCATTACGACAACTATAGTGTCGTAAATAAATAGAATGAGATATTTCTGATCGTTGGCACTTAATTTGACGCGTTCAGCAGACTCGACATTTGACTGAGCGCTCGCTGTTATTGGTACATTCTTCTAAACCTAAAGTTCTGATTGAATGATCTAAAAGAATACACCAATAACAACGAGCGCTCAGTCAACTGTTGAGTCCGCTGAACGCGCTCATTAATTCGTCTATATAAATCGTGTATATTACCGCAATTAAACAGAAAATACTTTTTGACTCTACTAGATGATTTGGATTCTAGTAAAAATGAGTTCGTAATCGCGCGTAAAAATAATGAGATACGTCTGCTTTTATGGGTTTCACTGTGTTTTTCTAAAAACTTATTGACTTACCCTCGTACATAAATAATTAAATTGATAATTAAATAGAATGAGATATTTTTTTGATCGTTGCCAATACACGATTTATATATAGATGAATTAATATTACCGCAATTAAACGGAAAATATCTTTGACTATAATAATTGATTTGGATTCATTACGACAACTATAGTGTCGTAAATAAATAGAATGAGATATTTCTGATCGTTGGCACTTAATTTGGCGCGTTCAGCAGACTCGACATTTGACTGAGCGCTCGCTGTTATTGGTACATTCTTCTAAACCTAAAGTTCTGATTGAATGATCTAAAAGAATACACCAATAACAACGAGCGCTCAGTCAACTGTTGAGTCCGCTGAACGCGCTCATTAATTCATCTATATAAATCGTGTATTTTACCGCAATTAAACAGAAAATACTTTTTGACTCTACTAGTTGATTTGGATTCATTGGCTGCGTTCAGCACAGAAAGCAGCTTTGCAACTGTTGTAAAATTCTTTAATATGATTGGTCTTGCCCTTATTTCCTCATTAGATCTAAATGTATAAGCCAATTATATTCAAGAATTTTACAACAGTTGCAAAGCTGCTTTTTCTGCTGAACGCAGCCATTAAAACTAGTGCTGAATTACAGAATAAGTTGTTATTAACAATTGTTATTAAAGTTATATTACTATATATTAGTAACTAAATTTTTGAAGTAAATAATACGTTCTGTATAAAAACGAACATTTAAATTAAACAATATTTAAATGTAAATCTTATAGGACCGTACATGTGAGAAACACAACTAATAAGAAAATGCCTTTAACGGTCGAGCTGGATCTTAGATGCTAACTATAATTTCGTATGAATTTATATATTACATATGTATATCTTTTAAACCGCGTACCGAACAATTTTTCGGTCTTGAAACGCCTCTCTACGAAATCGCGATAATATCACGAGTTAAATTATTTAGCAATTTAACAGTTTTGCGATGCTTATAGCATTTTGGATCTTAATAATGTTAAACGACATATTAAAATCTGTCAATGAAAATCTGTAAATAATTAATTTATATTGCGAAAAATATTACCTCGGCCGAGAGTCAAACCTGAATCTCTTACATTCCATGCGAGCGTCCTCCCAGTTAGATCATCGAGGCCTTAGTAATATTCTAGATGCAATAATCGCACAGTGGATCAGACGACCCGAAATCTTGGCCAAAAACGAAGTACGGAATTTAAAGAAAAGAAACTGTTTATTGTTTAATAAACACTTCAGAGTACTTAAAAACTGATTCTTACATGTGTGTTCATTGATTAATAGCATTACTCGATATATTTATAAACTTAGAAAATCACATAAAATCAATATTGGAGAGCATAATGCATTCACTAATGAATTTTTGAATAATTTCGAAATATGCAGTTTTTTTGGTATTTTTTCATTAATGTATATTAAAAGATTATGAAATATGTAAAATAACTATTAAGAAAATATGTACGTTTAATATATTTGGTACAATTTATTCAACCGTAAATTGATATTTTTCATATGTACGCGTTGTCGATTCTCGCCGCACCTAAACTTCACATCCAAATGAACAAAATGAGGTACCATTTTGTTTGGTAAAATGGTACCTCATGTACTTTGAACTTGACCTACTCAATTTCGCTCGTTTTAATTTCTTTCAAAAAAATCTTAATATAAGCATATATGTTGAGCATATAACGATATATTACATTTAGATTAATTTGATGAAGTACATACAAATGAGCTATAGAGTAACTAGAAAGAGATGGAAAGTAAAGAGCAAGTGAAATATAAGTTTAGATGGCGTTACTGGGAAACTATCTTATTTCGGGCTTCACTACATCAAAGGTACCGAGAGAGAGTTACGCTACTGTATGTGTATATGATATACTGTGTCGACGCTGTACACGTGTTCCAAGCCACTCACTTGAAGAATTGAGAATAGCTGCAGTGGTAAAGTTTCAGCTTTCAGCCTGTTAGGCTGCGAGGCCAATAAATTTAAGAAAAAGTCAGTCCGGAGTGACTTTACAATTAGTACGGGCAATATTGAATTGAGTAAGTATACGCAGTAATACGTTTCTCTCACCAAAGGCGAAATTGCATTAGTGCATTTAGCAAAAAATAGATTTCGGTTTTTTGCCACATATATCGATATTCTTTTTGGTATTTTGTATCGTATATTAATGGTATTTGGTATCGTATACTTTGGATATAAACTTTCCATATTTACGCAGTAACTGCGTTTCATTTTCCATGTAAAAATTTCATATCTGAACGTTCAACAGGTTAATCAGCATCAATTTGGTCTCCTGATTAAACAAAATATGCAAGACGTTTAAATTCAATCAATCGATGGTGATCATTTCGCCAGATAACACAAGAAAATAAAGCAAAGTTCTCTCATATACTTGCACCTTCACAACTGACACATAATATTTACAAAGTATGTACACATAGAATATTTTATTTCGTTTTGTTCGTCTGTTCGTTTTTAACCATCACTATGGATTATGATTACAAAATTACCTCGTGATTTACAGATGTCTTATTTACGGGCAATTCAAAAAATACCGGGCGATACTGCCAGTGAGAAATTACGTTGGATCAGAAAAGTGACTTTGTACCAGAGCAGTAGCGATCTTGAACAATTTCCACCAGAATTACTGCCTATTTTAAATGTAGAAACTGCCATTAAAGAAAAGAAACATGAAGATATAACATTTGCTCTTAAGTGTGAAGACTCAGCGATAATAAACCGTGCATTTAAAGCCTTTTGGTTTTTTGATGGTAGCTATAAAGAAATTGTTAACGTCAGGTATTTTTTCGAACATCTTTTCCCTTACGTTTCTGTAAAAACAAGAACACGTATTGTGCTGACACTTGCACATCAATTGTCTGGCAAGGATCCAATTTTTGCGCAGGAAATATTTACAGAAATGGTTTCGATTTATGGCATTCAAACCGCTTATCCGTTGATCATAGCTTGCAATGAGACTTTCGCTTATAAAATAATTGTGGAGAAAGAATTAGTGTTACCTGTTAAAATTGTTAAAAAGATATATTATATCAATCCGGATTTGGCAGTACGTTTTCTCAAATTATTGAGACCTCGTCCCTCTAGACTAAATAGGACTTATCAAAATCCCTTTGCGATCGGCATTTATAAATACAAATCTCTCCTCCCTAAATTAATAAAGAAACGACTGGAGGCTTTTATAGAACTGTTTGTGATTCATAAAATTTCTCCACCTAAAATTACTTTGAGCAACAAGTGCGCCGAAATATTTCTTAAGAAAGCTCAGCAACACCTGATACTAAAGCCACAGTTATATATTCATATCTTACCACTCAAAAAAATTAATAAGGATTTAATGGAAAAAATATTCCCTAATCTGTTGCCAAGAATGTCTGACTTCAGTAAATATACTATGCTCAGTTACTTGGAACATTATCCATGTGATAAACAATACGATTTGATTCGTAAATCATTCATGATTAAATATGGTGTTAATATTCTTGAAGAAACAAGATATGTCCGGCCTGACTTATTACAGTTATTACCTGTCGAGGAACGAAACAGAATGGCTAAAATTAAAATTCTCGAGAAGCACAACTTAGGGGAGAATCGTTATAAAGATAAAGTCTCTATGGAACTCGATAATCTATGTGAACAGAAGTTCTCTTCCGTGACCGAAGAATCTTGCTGGTTTTATTATTTACCTGTTAACGAAATTATTCCGGTTATCAAAGATAAATTAATTAAAACTACAGATGAAAAAGATAGAATTGATCTCCTTATGCGAATGATCTATGCTTGTAATGTTAATAAAGATGATAATGCCTTGTTTGATGTCTTGACATATTTTTTAAATAGACATAAAAACGAAAACTCTGGGGTGTTCCAACGAATATTCCATCACCTTTTAGAAATATATAATTTACCTTATTTAAATGAGAAGCTGGTTTCTCTTGTATTAGACATTGTTCGATTGTGTTATGTAAAACATGAATTCATACCGGAAAGAATACTCGTGGCTATAATACATTTTAAACTTATACACAATATGCCAATTGAGGAGCTCATTGATATGCTTTTAGAAAGTAATCAATGTTACGAAAGTTTTAACATACTTAAAGAATATCCACAATATGAGAGGCAATGTCTTGTAACTTTCGCAAATCAAATTGAAAAAAAATCTTTTAAAGAGGTTGATGAAAAAAAGGATCTTTTCTGCCAATCGGAAAAAAAATCTTTTAAAGAGATTGATGAAAAAAAGTATTTTTTCTGCAAATTATTTGAAGCAATATATGATTTTAACAACAGGTATAAAACATCGTGCACCAAAATAGAAAAAATGACAATTAGAGATTATCCTTGGTTAATGGATGTTATTTACGAAATTCTACGTTCTGGCAAAAATTCTATCTTGAAAAATATATTGCAGGAAAATGAGCCAGAACTGTACTGCAGTTGGTTTCCTTCAAATATGGCAAATGTAACGTCAGGCGCGGCGCTCGCTCTATTGAAACGAGATTCACGAAACGTACTGGATAATTGGGAAGAATACTTAGCAAATTGCATGAAGAACTACAATTCAAAACATGTACAACGCTTTATCAAGGCCACGCGATGGTATAAAGACTTGCCCATTAAATTTTTTGAACGTTGCATGAATTATATTTACGATAAAAATACAGATGAAATACCGTCAAGCCTAGTTGTCTTGGCTCTTTTATGTCATGGTGATGAATTGACAAAACTGATCGATCCTTTCATACCCACAGAAACACTGATAGATATCAATCTTCCAAATGCTAAAAATAACTATAAAATTGTAAAATATTTACTATTGAGCATGAGACTTTCTAATCCACCAATACCTCTCGATCTCATAGTTAGATTGTGTGTAGGAGATTATTTATCAATGGCTTTGATGACACTAACAAATGTAAGTAGGCGAACTTCTTTGCCTAAAATTATATCAATTGCACAAAAAATGATGAGTATACCTGTGAGCACATGTAAGCATGGAGTTAGGCTGATGTATTTGATAGCGACTAAGCATGAGTTTATAGACTTTCTCCAGAAAACATGGGCAATCGAGAAGCATCATTCAACACGAC